TGATTATATTTATTGTCTTCATCCAAATCTACTAGCAGGAACAAGATTGTTATATGCATATTCTAGTTCGTCGAACCATGAATATCCTTATTTGACTGTAAATTGTTAGGGATATCTACAAGCTCAGTTTTGTCACAATATACTGATTGGGGTTTGTTAATCTTTGCTGGAGTGCCAAAGGGTCATAGGTTAATAGTGTATGTGCAGATACAACAGTAAGCTTTCACTGGTCTGTATAATAGTTTTATGATCAAAGATATATCATAATTAGCTTGACATAGTTCTGAATTGTCTTTACAGGTACTGGAAGAGTAATGCCGACTCAGTCATGTTGAGACCTGTTTTATCCCAATCTCGTCAGTGGCTACTCTGGGTTAGTAAAACATGATTAGGTTTTTGTATTCATATTTTTTTACTTGCACTTGTATGGTGATTAAGAAGTCTAATATTGATTTATTAGTTCAGTTAATGATTGCCTTAATTTTTTCTTTGTTTTGAGGTTACAACTATATTTTTGGGTGTATCAGTGTATGAGTCTTGGCATAGGAATTCTCCAACAAATAAAAAAAAATATTACAATCACTTTGTTCAGAAAGACTATAATGATAACTTCCCAATATTACTTTCATTGATTTTGACCTATTATTCCTTACATACCTTTCCAAAATTATGCATTCTTGATGAGAGGAGGCAAAATTCAAAGAAAGTCACTTTGGAGAAGTCACTTTCACAGTCATACAGAACAACATGAGTCCTTTTCCAATCTCCTCAGTTGATCCATTGCTGCAGCATAATCATACTGTCTGCTGTTGTTTCTTATGTGGCCTTTGTTGGTACATGGTCGCCTCCAGAAGTGCCACCTTGGAGCCAATTACTTAGCCTTCATGACCTCACCTGATTTTTCCTTTCCTTGAGTCTTGTTTATAAAGGTATAAGTATTGATGTTGTCACTATTGTTGACATTATAATTATTATAATTTTATTATTATGTTTATATATATATATATATATATATATATATATATATATATATATATATATATATATATTATATATATATATATGAATATCTATCTCTACTAGCAGAAACAAGATATCTATATCTATATCTATATCTATATATATTTGTCTGTCTGTCTATCTGTCTTTGAATATCTATCTATCTATCCATCTGTCTATCTATCTATCTATCTATCTATATATATATATACCTATCTATATAAATATCTATCTATCTATATCTGTATCTATTTCTATATCTATCTCTTTATGTATCTATCTCTTTATATCTCTGTCTCTGTCTCTGTCTCTGTCTGTCTGTCTCTCTGTCTGTCTGTCTGCCTGACTCTGTCTCTGTCTCTGTCTGTCTCTGTCTGTCTCTGTCTCTCTTTCTCTCTCTTTCTCTCTCTCTTTCTCTCTCTCTTTCTCTCTGTCTCTCTCTCTCTGTCTCTCTCTCTCTGTCTCTCTCTCTGTCTCTCTCTCTCTACCTCTCTCTCTCTACCTCTCTCTCTCTACCTCTCTCTCTCTACCTCTCTCTCTCTCTCTCTCTCTCTCTCTCTCTCTCTCTCTCTCTCTCTCTCTCTCTCTCTCTCTCTCTCTCTCTCTCTCTCTCTCTCTCTCTCTCTCAATATATATGTATATATATGTATATAGATAGATATAGATAGATAGATAGATATAGATATAGATGTAGACAAGATACATAAATGAATATTCAGAATTGCTCCTCATCTTCAAGATATCACTATATTTTCGTGTGTTACAATTTTTCTGTTATTACAGGCCCTTCCCAGAGTTTTCGGGAATACAGCTTGTGGTGAAGCTCATGTAAAACTTCATGCACTTCAGTTCAGCACAACCCCAAATTTTCAGAAGGCCAAAAGCAGAAGAATTTATCTCAAAGGAGTTCAGTCAATTATTTTACATCATTACAGTGAGTACATAAGGGTGTAAGAAACTTGATTATATATGGATATTGATTGTATAGTTTATAGAGAAGGTAAATGTAAGGATAAGGAATGTTATGAAAATAGCATTGTGCTGTTAGTCAGATGAGATTATGTAGATGAACATTGTCTTAAGAATTGAAATAAATGTGTAAAACAGATACATAGTACTTCATGCTTTTTTTTTATTATTCATAATTAATGAACAACAAAATCTCTTTTTTTTGTTACAAAATAAGTATTTATTTTTACTTGTGTATATATGAAACCAAATTTGCTTCTTAATGAGTAGATTTAGCAGAACAGTTCATACTAAATGTTTCTCCTTAATGGTTCTAGATGACCTGAAGACATCAGAAGCAAACACATTTGTCAGCAAAAATCCAAAATTGAAAAATTTGGATAAACTTCAGCTTGATGCAGTGCTGTCGCTCCTGAAGGTGAGGGCCCTTTCTCTTCCCGTTTGTGTCTGTGTGGATCTGTCTTTTCCCTTTGCTGTATGGTAGGATAGCTTTGGTAAGTTCTGTAGAAAATATAGCAGATATATAGTCACCTCTTAATATCTGGTGTTATGGTTTGAAAAGGTATAAATAAGGTATTATTTAAGGCTGATATTTTGGCTTTTTTTAAAGGAAAGGAATAAGTATAGGCAGTTGAAATTTACCTTGTAATTAATAATATACATCTTTGCTTGCCAAAACTTTTAGCCTAAAATAGTTGATAAGGATATTGTTTTATTAACAGTATATCAATAGCATTGAAATGGGAACAATAAAGATTTTACTTATAATAAAACTGAAAGTGATGATGATAGTAGCAATGATAATGATGATAATAATAATAATTATAAGTATAGTTGATAATAATTATAATTGATGGTAATTATGAAGCTAGAAAATAATATATTTAATTTATTCTAGGATTTTCAAAGCTAAAAGTATTTATTCACTGATGGTTATCATCCCAGCGCTAAACCTTTTGGTGAAAAATGTGTACAGAAAAAGTTCAAAGTGTAGACTTCTATTATCTGGCTGTGATTGAGCTGGCTATGAGATGTCTGTCGGTCCTCATGGCTCAGGAGCTGATACTGGCAGCGAGAATCGCCTCCTTTTCCGTGACTTTGCTAGGTCCCAGAAATTGAGGATCTCTGGCTCCTGGTATCAGCATTCTGACCGGCATCGCTGGACTTGGTACAGCGATACGGGTAGTGTGGCCAAGGAGATCGACCACATCCTCATTAGCACTTGGTGAAGATCCTCCAGAACTGCAGGGTGTATCAAAGTGCCGAGTTCTGTGGAACTGATCATAGATTAGTTGTGGCTACTCTCCAGGTCCACTTTAGAACCCCCCGTCGCCCTAAGGTGTTTCATCTGGACAGAGGACAGGAGGACGAGTGTGTCTGGGGGTTTGCTGAAGCTTTTTCTGGTCATCTCAAAGGCCTGACAGACCCTGTTCTTATGTGGGATACCTTCAAGCGTGAAACACTTGATGCAGCTCAGGAATCCATTGGTGAACGCCCAAGAGCAATACAAAATTCCATCTTGCAGGAGACACTGGAAGCCACAGATGCTTGTTGCATGGCTCGATTGTCAGGGAATCGCAACTTGCACCATTCTTTGGTATGCAGGACTAGGTCACTGTTGAGAAGGGATAAGGAACAGTTTATCAGTAATCTTGCAGAGGAGGTTGAAAGCCATTTCTTAGTAAATGACCTTCGTCCTGCCTATGACACCAAAATCAGAGCCACTGTGTAGAACAGGTTAAGGGAATCGCAACTTGCACCATTCTTTGGTATGCAGGACTAGGTCACTGTTGAGAAGGGATAAGGAACAGTTTATCAGTAATCTTGCAGAGGAGGTTGAAAGCCATTTCTTAGTAAATGACCTTCATCCTGCCTATCAAGCCCTGAGAAAGTTGAACTCCAAGCCCTCCTCACAGACGACTGCATTCCGCACAGCAAGTGGCCAGATAATCTCAGATCCTGATGGGGTGCGTGTGTGTTGGGCTGAGTATTTTGAGCAATTGTATCAGGTTGATCCACCAACAGTTAACCTGGATGCGGGTAATGTTGAGATTCCTCTGCCTGACCCACCAATCAGTGAGGATCTACCCTCCCTGACTGAAGTCAGGGGGGTGATCTCCAAGCTGAAGAGTGGTAAAGCAGCAGGTGTTTGTGGCATCCCAGCTGAATTGTTAACCCCTTGGTGCCGGGCGACACCGATCGGTGTGTAAACAAAGCGCTCGAAAGATGGCGTGCAGCCAAACGAGCCGGCGGCGTGCCAAAGCGCGGCGAGCCAGTGATTCGGGCTGATGTCCCCTACTCACGCGCTCAAAGTCGGCGCGCCGCCTTTGTTTGCTTAAGCATAGATTTTTTGTTTTGTTTTGTACACCCGGTGCCATTGGGTTAAAGGCTGGTGGAGAACCTATGGCAAGGGGCTTGCATGCAGTCCTGTCTACCATCTGACAGACTGGTACCATTCCCCCTGACCTGCTGAGGGGTGTGGTCATCCCTCTCTGAAAGGGGAAAGAGGATCAGTGGGACTGTAGCAATCACCGAGGCATTACACTACTCAGTATACTGGGCAAGGTACTTGCACACATCCTACTGAGATGTATCATAGACCACCTGCTGAGGCACCAAAGGCCAGAGCAATCTGGATTCACTCCTGGTAAGTCCACAATAGACCGCATCCTGGTGCTTTGAGTCATTGTAGAGCGCTGTTGTGAGCGAGCAGCCCACATCGACCTCAAGAAGGCGTTTGATACGGTGCATCGCAAATCACTCTGGGAGATCCTGAGGCTAAGAGGAATTCCAACGAGGATTTTTGGACTAATAGCAAACTTGTATACAGGCACTGAAAATACTGTAAAGTGTGGTGGGGGCCTGTCGAGCTTCTTCCCTGTTAGTTCAGGCGTGAGGCAAGGCTATGTTCTTGCACCAACACTTTTCAGCACTTGCATGGATTGGATACTGTCCAAAGTCATTGTGGAGCAACTGTGGGCAATATCAAGGTTACAGACCTTGACTTTGCTGATGATGTTGCCATTCTATCTGAATCTCTGGAAACCCTAGTGGTAGCTCTTGATGCATTTAGCAATGAAGCGAAGCCCCTGGGGCTAGAGGTCTCCTGGACCAAGACCAAGATCCAGGATACTGGGGGCCTACTAGGAGATCCTGTGCAGTCGGCACGTGGTTGCGGTGAAAACACCGAAGTCACAGAGAGCTTTATATACCTCAGTAGTGCAGTTCACGACTCTGAGCTGTCAGTCCAGGAAGTCAGTAGACGGATTGGCCTGGCAGCAGGGGTCACGAAATCTCTCATCAAGAGTATTTGGAGATGCCGGTACCTGTGCAGAAGGACCAAGCTATGTGTTTTCAAGGCCCTGACACTGCCAGTTTTACTATATGGTAGTGAAACTTGGAGGCTATCTTGTGCTCTGGGATCTTGCCTTCATGCCTTTTGTAACAGATCCTTGCGCTGGATCATGGGGTACAGTTGGTGGGACCATGTGTCCAACCAATGGCTGCATCGTGAGACCGGTACAGGACCTGTTACTTGCACAATCCGTGATCGCCAACTCAGGCTATATGGCCACTTGGCTCGACTCCCGCAGGATGACCCAGCCCACCAGGTTGTCTCTGTCCGAGACAACCCTGGGTGGAGGAAGCCTGTGGGACGACCAAGAAGGTCATGGCTTGGGCAGATTGATCAAACCTGTCATGAGGAACTAGAGATGGGCTGAGCCCCTGCCTGGCGGCTCGTCATGAGGGACCCTCGTCATGAGGGACCCTCGTTGGTGGAAACTAAGTTGGATGCAGCTATGCGCTCCTGCCAGTGTTAGCTCCCAAATGATGATGATGATAAAAAAGAAGAAAAACAAATTAATGCTGTCCTTGTGACAGTTTCAAATAAAAAATAAATCCACAGAAAATTACCAAAAAGCAATCTAGATAGCAGAAGCCATTGTTATGCTCATGGTTCTAATGGCCCTAATTCAGAATAATTGGCCCTAATTAGAAAGATTAGTTAAAAAAAAAAATAAATAAATTAAATAAAAATAAATATTAAGTATGTAAGTTCTGAACCCCCAAAACAAGATAACAAACAGATCCATATGGAGGTAGGACACACTGTCTAGAAATACATGCAGTGATGTCCTTGAAGGTGATGCCATAGTAAAATTTAGGATAGTCTAAATAAGATCAAACTTAGTGAGGTGTTCCCAAAGGATTGAAGGATTTTTTAATGTAATTCTCTCGGATTGCATAATTTTTCAATTATGTGTAATAAAAACCACTGTATTGTGCTTAACATAATTCATATTGTCATCAGCATCAAGACTACAGCTGGGAGGACATTCGAGAGCACAAGGATGTCCTGACCTTGATGCCTAGCCAGCTGAGTGATCGTCTGAAGTTCTTGGAGGAGTTTTCGATCCCAAAACCCACACTCCACGAGCTAATGTAGTAAGTGGGTCTGGTTTCATTGGTTAGAGGTTGCATGCTCAAAATAACAACAAGCTTATTACCAGTTGAATGACAGTGACTTAAATCTTATGAAATTTCTCTCACTATCAAATCTTGTGGCACCCGAGTACTGTGTCACCCAATTTGAGAATGAATGAGTTGGAGGGAAAAAAGGGGGAAAAAATTGTGGTTGGAGGGGTAACTTTTATTTTTGTTATTATAGTTCCTCTTAATATTGCTGTTATGACAATATTTCTAGTAGTACCATCAGTAGTAGTATTAGTATCCTTTAGAAAACAAAAGAGATTACAGCTAGTAAGTGATATGAGATATGATATGAATTATCATATTTTTCTGATGTCGTGTGCTTCTCAAACAAAATATAATAGAAATATTCAGTAAAAAGACAAGATAAGAATAAAGGAGTCACTGTACAGAACAGGTTAATAGAAAAATGTTTTATTATTATCATTATGAATATTATTACTGTTATGAATATTAGTATTATTATAACATTATGTTATAATAATATAAATAATAAAGATGAAAACTTTTCTTAGTGAAATTCAAGTAATGTGAGTAAACAGATGATTACTAGCTGGATCTAGTAATTGACTCCTTTGTATCAGAGTACAAGTGGAGCCACCTATTTGCAGAGTAAATGAATACACTGAAAGTACAGTAGACAGGGACATGTATATATGCACCCCAGCATGAACAATTTGATATGATTATTTAAGCATTTGTTTTTTTTTCAGTGCACAGGCGTACATGCACTGCACAGTGGGATTCTTACGGAAATATGGAGTATATAGCGAGAACTTTGATATTGTTGCTCACCTGATAAAAAATATAGAGCCCCTGAAATTGCCAGAAACTTTTATAAATGAATTTCAAGAGCAGTACAAAAACAACTTGGAAGAGGTACCGCTGGCAGAGTTGTATTTTACGATTCTGAAGAAATACCTAACAATGAGGTAAGTGTGGTTGGACATTGGTTATGAAGATTGGTTACAGGAATATTATTCATTAAACTGTTTTTTATTCAGGGAATGGGTAGGTTCATTTAGTTTTTAAAAAATTATGCCTTTCTGTGTATTTTTTGGACTCCAGGAGAATTTGGGATTTGCTTGGCTTCTGTTATGGGGAGCATGCATGGTTGACTGGGATTGCCTCCCATTCCTTTTTCAGATGTGGCCAGTGCACAGGTTACTACAGTGCTAAAACCTGTAGTAACCTGAATGAGTACATTAGAGTCCATTTCATTAAATTAGGGTACACTCTGTGTACAAGATGGAATGCACTTTTATTGAGAGATTTTTTCTCATTTTCACAAATTTTATTCTAATGAAATAAGGGATTGTAAGTAGTTATATAAAAGCCTGCTACTCCCAAAGCTTCAGTACTTCCTTTTTGTGTGTTAAACTTCAGGACATTCATACTAGCAAAGTACCATATGACAGTCTTAGAAGTTGACATGAGAAGACATGCTGTTTATGTATGACCTTTCCCTTGTTTGAGATACATCAGCCAGGGCTAGCATTTTATCGTGATCAAAACAAGGACAGTGATGATGACAAGAAACTACAAGTCTTATTTCCCATTCAGGTTCCCATCAGACTCTATGGCAGTTGAAATACTTTTCAAGGGTGATTTTTCTCCAGCTTGGAAGCCTCTTGTTTCCTATCAAGATATTTGTAACATTGTCATAGACATGCTTGGGTTAGACTTCAGTTATGTGAGTATATAATATATGTGAATCTCTTATGATTTCTTTTTGACTCATACATTTGCATATTTTTGTGTAGATTTTTTGAGATGTAAAATGTGTTACATTAAATTATATCTCATTTTGTTATTATGCTTATCTTTTTAATGTTTCTATATAATCGTGTTGTCTCTGATCTTTTATTATTAATGCATATAATAACAGGACATTAATCATGATGAATTTAATTGATTATTTTTAGTGATCATCTTTTAAGTATACTACTTCTACTAATATTCCTGCTGTGAGAAAATAAGGGAAATATGTATACTTCACAAACCTATTAATCTTGCAGGTGATGTCCAACACATGTATTCTAAATATAGATCCAGTAAATGTGACCAATCTACTTGAAAAATACCCAAAGCTCGGGGGGGCACCGACAACAGAGGTGGCTGTCAAAGAACCTGAACTGCTCCTCATTCCTTTCTCCAAGATAGAAAGATGGACAAAAATGTTACGGAAGTACAAAGGTGAATCAGTGTTAGAGTATCTCTGCATCTCTTCAAGATTTGAGAATAAATTTGTGTGCTGCTAGTGATAAGTGTTTATATTTATATATTTTTTTTTTATGAAGGGTTATGTTTATATATTGCTAGAGACATATATCATATATATATATGTGTGTGTGTGTGTTATATATTACACATATATGTATATATGTATATATATTCATATACAGAAAGTCCCCTACTTACAAACATTCTACTTACGAACAAATTTTTAAAAATACTTAAGTCCAAAAAATTGTTTGAAAGATGCTAGCAAACTTCCAATTTCCCGGGCACGAATATAGTTCATGAGTCTGCCACTCCGTGGCGCTGCCGCGCTCACTCAGTCACCACTACAATATATTTTCTTTTTAAATAAATTAGGTTTCTACATTAAAGTTGTATGAATCACCATCAAATAATATTAAAAGCTTTACATATTACAGGTACTGTATAAGGTATGAGATTTATGTACAGGTATTCTTAATGTAAACAAAACTTTAAAACAATGGGAAAAAAGGCAATGGAGACCCGACTTTGGATATATGAACAAATGGAGTTACGAACAACCTCTCGATCCCCATTATGTTCGTAAGTTAGGGACTTTCTGTATGTATATATATATATATATATATATATATATATATATATATATATATATATATATATATATATATATATATATATATATATATATATATATATTACATATATGATTTACATTTTTATTCTATAAGTATTATTTTATATTTGTTAGAGCTCTTCTCTAAAATGTTTTATATTTTAGTCCTCAGTTGACCTTTTCCAGGTTTTTCTTACTATAATATTTACTATTTGCAAAGAATAATGATAAATCATTTCATCTCTCTCCATACAGTGACGAAGTTCAGCATCTCACTTGAGATTTTGCGCTTTTTCCGAGGCAGCAATTTTGCAGAAGTAGAAGAGAGATTAAAAGTGCTCAGTCAGTTACCAGAGTGGAAGGTGTGTGGGACAAATAAGTATTGTTTTATTATTACAATTATTTTGATTATGATAATGATAATGATTATTATTATTGTTATCATAACCATTATGATTTTTATCAATACCTTCAGTTTTATTGTTGTTATTACTTGTTTGATTATTGTATTTAGAGTTATTATTTACTCCCTCTTTTCTTCTTTTACCCTTGAAGATTATATTTCAAAATTTAGTACTTATTTATTTGTGTACTGAATGATTTTATTTTATTAATTTAGTATTGATTTTCCAGTGCCATGGCTTAGTGTCCATGCTTGTCTTCCAGATTAGAGTTTAAACGTGTATACTATTGTTGATGTTAACCCATTCGGCTCATGTGGCAAGAATACATGCCATGCCCACTGTAATACACATTTATTTATTGTATTTACACATAGATGGCTCTACAAGTTCTTAATCACCAAATGGCCTACTAATAGACTCCTTGCCGGCCGAGCACATGTGGAACCATCTGTAGGTAACAAAATTCATCAATAACTACAGGGAACAGAACATAAATCTGGGGCGAATGGGTTAAGAAGAGTAGCTAATCGCATGAAACCCAAGATTCTTAACCTTTTTGCGACGGGTAAAAATGAACAAAAAATGGGGAAAATGCTGTGCTCATTTTTTATATTTTTTTGTGAAATATCTCTACACTCTGCCTTACCTGATTTCACCTTTACTTGAATTGGCGGGAAAATGTATTTTTATTAGTGCTATGAATATCGATGGTTATTTTTATTATAAATGTTATAATTACTATAATGTTATAAACATTAGTAACAGCAAAGTAAGATAACGTAAAATATTTTCGTAAATTAAAGAAAAGGGTTAACAGGCGAGACAGACACTACAAGTACAAGTGTAGCCATCTATGTGTAAAAACAATTAAACAAGTAAACTCACAGTGGGCATATCACGTATATGTGACACCCGGCGCGAATGTCTTAACCTCAGGATCCTCGGGCATAAAACAAAACAAAAGAAAAATAAACAAACAAACATAATTTAGTATGTTATTTAATGGCAGATTTTTTTTTTAAATACATTTTTGTTCTCTTTAATTTTCTTTACTCATTTCTTTTCTTATTATTGTTCTTCAGATTTCAGTCTGTTTTTTTACTGTTTTTCTCTTGTGTGTTTACATATAATTGTCTTTTTTTCTTGAATTTTATTATTGCATAAAAGGAAGGTTATGGTGATTTACAGTATAGTAAATAAATTTCACAATTTCCTGTCAAATTAAGGGGAGGAACCTGATATTTAAAAAAATAAATCCATTTATTGGGTTGTTCTTATAATTTTTACACTTTGAGTTAGGGAAACCATAACTCTGCGACCATTTCATTTTTTACCCTGTCATCCCTTTTGGAAATTTTACAAATCATTCAAATGGCGACTACTTCTATAATTATCACTCAACAGGCATGAGACTGGTATGGTATAAGAACCTCGTTCAGAATATGATTTAAAAGATTTCAGCTCTGGCATCAACCCCCAAAGAGGAAAAAAAAAAAAGGACAAATTTCAACCCTTACCCATATGAATTTTCATTGAAATATTTAAGAAAATGATCTAGTTTCAGTTTGAAGGTTGAAAACGTATGAGTTGGTAAAGTTTCGTTGATTTTGAACTTTATTGTGATCCATAAGTAGGTAAGATGATGGCAATAACTTCTTTATTTTCTTGTAGAATTATATTTTTTCATATGCAGTCATAATTGTTGATCTCCAGGCATTTAATCTGTCTTCAGGCTCTTGGGAATTCCCAGAATATTATCAAGATTAAAGATTTCTCAGTACATATTCCAAGTGATTAATTTCTCACTATATATTCCAGATTATAAGCTTGTCAGATCAGCTCTTTGTGATCTTAAGAAAACCCTATGGTTTGAAAAGATTGCTTGATGCAATGCACTCAGGACAAGTTGTCAACAACCTGTCTTCTGCTACTCAGGTAAGTACATTGTCTTTTTTTCTGTTAGGTAGTGTTTTAGAATTGTGACATTGTGTTATAGAAGATAGTTGTTTTTTTTAGGTTCTGGAATTTTATGTTAGTTTTATTTAGTATATACCTGAATTATTTTTAATCCTGATTTCTATTTAGAATAGGAAGTAAGGGATGGGGTTAAGCTTTGAGAGTGGAGTCATATTCAAACTAGTGGGTGGCAGAAATGAATGAAACATCATGATACTTATAAAGCACAGAAAATAGAATAAAGAACAATAAATTCTTAATATTATTTGTATAGCAGCTTTTTGTCTCTTTTTCATATATAGTACTTTGAAATGTTTTGAAATGTCGTAATTTTATAAATCCATAATTGCACAAAGCCCTGAATCAGTATATACAGTAACACAATTTTCTTTCATCATGAATACATGTATTTTTTGAAAATTGTTTTAAAATAATTTCCTGTGGTTATAAAGAAAACTCACGGTTATTTCCAAGTAAATCTAATATATATTGAAATTTTAGATGTAAATGAGAAAATCTACTTTTGATTTATGCCTGTGTGCAAGTGTGGTTGGTATAGACCCCTACCCTGCTTATTCCTTTCCCTTCCCTCATTCACACCAACCAGTTGAGCCCAGACCAGGCTGCCATGTTGTATTCAAAAGCCATAGTACCAAACATGTGATTAATTCCAAGTATTAGGCATAGAATAATGAGCCATATGGTATAAAAACCCAGCCCCCTCCTGGGTATGCACTCCTGATTTTTATTTTTATTTATTATTATTATTTTTTTTTTCAGTGTTGACAGTGATCTATGATTTTTTAATGAAATAGGTCATGTTTTGAAAAGTTGATTTTTCATACCAGTGGTGACTGTGCCTCCTTCATTAATTATTGTTCACTTTTTGTCCTTCTTCAGGATTCTCCTTCATGCTGTTGAATATCTGTGCATTTGTCTTTATCATCACTATTATTCTTATTATTTCATTTCTGGCTGCAGGAACCAAATGTGCCAGTACAAAGATGCCGTCGCCTCCCCCAAGAGGTTGCAGCATACATGGCTGAAGAACTCAATATAGAGGAGTATGAGGCATGTATTTTGATCTTTCTTTCTTTCTCCCTTTTTCCCCTTTTTGTTGCTGTTGTTAACCCAATGGTGACGGGTGAAGAAAACAAAAAAAAAAAACTCTACGCTCTGGCAAACAATGGCACCATGCCGGCTTTGAGCACATGAGTTTGGTACTTCAGCCCGAATCACTGGCTCGCTGTGTTTTGGTGCGCCGCCGTGGCGTACAGCTGCATGCCGCGTTTCAAGCGGTATGTTTTCACACCTAGCGGCATCACCAGTCGTGAAGGGGTTAACAAGAGCTGCAATAGGACCAGAGTTATTTTTTTTTGTTGTTGTTGTTTTCTTATTACTTTCTATTTCCCCTATTTCTGGTGCAAATGGTGTAGTGAATAGGTATTATTTAGGGATTATTCCTCACTGCAACCAGGGTAGTTTTATGGTGCCTCCAAGAACCAGGTAAGGCAAAAAATAATTGTAAATCCCCCTGGCAACTCCTCAAACCCAGCTTTCATTTGGATTTTTATGGATGTGAAAGAGCAGTTCTGGCCTTAACTGCCAAGACAAGCACAAGGAAGGGAACAAGATACATACTATTCTACAAGATACCCTCAAGCAACAAGGGTACTCAAAAAAAATATGGTATGATGAAGGGATTCATAGTATTAATAGTATTTTGTGTAAGAACAACTATAGAATAATACTGTTCAGGAAAAGGCAAGGGACCCTCATTTTTTTGCATGGATATATTTTGTTTATAAAGAGAATAGAAGGTGTTTCTGCTAAACCATTTTTTAAATAGTCCTTCACACAACAGCAATTGCATTTTTTACACTTAAATGCTTGAAATCATGATTTATCCTGATCTGTTTGCATTTGTGCGCTCTTCAAAATCGCAATAAAAACCTACGATTAACACTCATTATTTTGCCTTTTGGTGTGCGTGTCCAGATATATGATAGGATCATAGAAGTAGATTTAAGTGATTGCCAGGGTGGATTTTCCTATAGTGTTGTCTGTCTTGGTTCTTGGATCCATTGTGCACTTCCCTTTTAAAAAGTTGTTCTTGTTTATGTCACTGATGTTGCATTCTACTAATGTTATTTTCACACCAAACTTCTTGGACAGAAAATAGGAACTTTCTTTTTCATTATTATTGTTGCTGTTGGGACTGGTTATTTTTTAATTGGATATTACTGTTATAATACTTTATGCATTATGATAGTATGTAATTGTTTTGTATACATAATGATGTATGATTACAGTTGTACTTAAAATACATAGAGAATAAATGTATGATATACTAATTGATTCTTCAGGCAAATGACCTACTAAATGCTGAAGTTCGAACACACTTTGGTATCTCCAATACACGCATGGTCCTGGAACTCCTGCTCAATTATGGATTTACAAGGGAGCAGGTTTGTATACATTTTAGATTTTTTTACTTTCCAAATTTAATGGGACTTTTTACTGAATCTATATATTCATACTTATTTTTACTTATTCTATCTATTTATCTATACATCTATTTATATCTTTGTATATATATCTTTATCTATTTATTTATATATGCCTATCTCTCTCTCTCTCTATCTATCTATCTGTCTATGTATGTATGCAAGTAAGTGTGCTGTGTGGTGCACCGGTAGCGATCTCGTCTAGCAATCTTGCTGACCTGCGTTCGAAACCCTCGCCGCCAGTGGATGGTAACCCCGACCATTCCTTGCGCACGGGGGATAATTTAGAAGCAAAATAAAACAGACAGTATGTCACACCAAGAATATCCATTGTAACAAATGGAATCAAACTAAATTATTGTATGCACTTATGTATGTATGGATATATATATATGTATATATATATGTATATATATATGTATATATATATGTATATGTATATATATGTCTATATGTCTATCTAACTATATATGTATATATATATATATATATATATATATATATATATATATATATATATATATATATATATATATATATATATATATATATATGTATATATGTATATATGTATATATATATATATATATATATATATATATATATATATATATATATATATATATATATATATATATATATATATATATATATATACACACACACACACACATATACATATATACATATATATATGCATGTATGTATGTATGTATGTATGTATGTATGTATGTATGTATGTATCTATAAATATGTGTGTACATATGTGTGTGTCTAAGAAAACAAGAGGATATTAATCATAAAAGATAAATATTTCAATCTATTTCAAGAAGATTTA